TCATAAGAAGGACCTATTTAATTATGGGCTATTATTTTTTGGGATTCTACAAGTAAAAGTTGCGTTTCTCTTCCTCGTCCATGAACGCGGTTACGTGAAAAGACTTGCCAATTCCCATAGGAGTCTTGAAGTAAATCTTCTTGCTTTTTGGCTCCTCCATACTCATCTCCACGATCGGTACCCACAAAAACATCTGCTTACTCTTCACTCCTACATGAATATATACACATTTACATACACAAAAATAAATCCATATATCCACAATATGCAAGCCCAATTCGAAGCATAGTCAAAGAAAACCATGGTTTAAGTCTTTAAGACAGATTATGACCAAAACTTACTTAACAAAAATGGGCACAAAGCATCCATTAACTTTTGGTTACCTGTCATCTTCTTCATACAACACTTGTCGACATAGGCAGTGACCTCGAGAGCATAGGAAACACGAGTGTTGGTGGATTCGAAGAAGTGTTCGTATGGAGTGTTTTGCTTCATCCACACGTAACCAGTGGATCTAACTCTTCCACACTCGACAAGATTCTTCAAAGGCATCACTCCTTTTGGAAACCCTAACTCCTCCAAAAGCTCCACAGATTTCTGGTAACATTCCTCCGCTCCGTAAACTATCTCAGCCCCTGCTCTTTCCCCTCCGACCACGACCACTGCTTCGGTCGCCATTTAGTTATGAGAGTTTAGAATTTTACAGTTTATTTTTTGTTTTCTTTAGATAAGAGTTTATGAAGAGGAATTTAATATAGTGTCTGTGGTGAGGCTTTTGGAATATATAAAAAATTAAACGAAATAAAAAAGAATGGAGTTGGTAGTTGAGCGGTGGGTTGTGTGAGTCATTTATTTGTTTGCCTAAATCTCTCTTTTGTTACTTTCGTGTGGTTTTTGTTTGGTTACCTAATTGCCCAATATATTTGTTTCTTTTTTCTTTTAAAGCAAGCTAGTAATAACACAATCTGATAGATTTGAATTCATACGGTGATACATCATACAAATCCTGGAAAAAAAAAATACATTTTAACTTACCTTGTGTATAGTAAAATATTGAGATGAAATTAACTGGATTGTGTATCTTATTTATTTTATAAAACAAATCGATCATTAGTTTTTTTTTTTGTAGAATTATTTATTTTAAGATATTTCAAATATCAATTAACATCTAGAGTTGATTAGTCAAAGATTTTGAAACATTTTAAATCAGAAAATACAAAACAAACAAATCTTAAAATGGCTTATTGGTTCATGTATTCTAAAACATGTTCAAATCCAATTGGAATGATTGATTTTAAAATATGAACTTAAATCCATATGGCTTTACTTGATTTTAATATTGATTTCCAAATAGGTAGGATATGTATAAGATTTTTACCTTAGCAATTTTAACTAAGAAATCTTTCAAATTTTGACCAACACAAAAAATCTTCCAAATTTGGTAAAAAAAAAATATTTGTATTTTAAAATTATGTATAAAAACGAGATGTCCTAATGTATTCATTTTTGAAGTGGGCATGACTCATAATCAATTTTACGGTGGTTCATTAAAAAAATCTTATTTTTTCTTTATAATTCATATTTTCTGATTTTATAAAACTAAAAATATTTTCAAATTTATCTCGAACGAAAAAATGAAAAAAATAAGAGAATTTGCAGCGTGAGAATTGATATTACAGATATATACATCATCAAAGGTGAGAATTGATATTACAGATATATACATCATCAAATGTATATGAACTATTACAAAAATATACCGATTATACCCCTATAAGATTGTTGTTAAACAAGAGAGATAATAATGAAAGCACATATATCATCCGACGGTGAAGATATTATTTTTTCTTCCA